AAACTTCTACTAAACCACTGTCCTCAGCACCACTTTAAATAATCACACTCTTTTTAAAAAACGCATCAGATGCTCTATGAGTTCAGTGGAACTCCTCCAGGGTCTTTAGGACCTGGGTTGGGAAACACTGCTCTATAAAGTTTATGAGTCAGGTCAGATTCTAACCAGCCATCCTCATCACAGATATAACGTCCAGCAGGGGGCGTTTGGGGGCCAAAAGCTGCTAAAACTGAATGTTTTTTGTTCTGAGGGATGAAGTCCCGGGTCTGTGGACTTGTGGAGAGTTTGGTGGAGAGTTTGGTTTGTGGACAGGCACTTGTTCCTTTAGTCCGGGGATCTTCTTTCTGCCTCAAACAACAGAGGGAAACTTGGAAAACATGAAGGGCACTGTGCCTTTGGGACCTGGGTTGGGAAACACTGCTCTATAAAAGCCCCTGCTACCCTCTGGGACGTCTTAGTGGAACTTTACAAACTCATCCAGGGTCTTAAGGACCTGGGTTGCTCTATAAAAGCCCCTTCCCTCCCTGGGACGGTTCAGTGGAACTCCACAAACTCCTCCAGGCTCAGTGGAACTCCTCCAGGGTCTTAGGGACCTGGGTTGCTCTATAAAAAGCTCCTTCCCTCTCTGGTTGATCTCAGTGGAACTCCAGGAACTCCTCCAGGGTCTTGAGGACCTGGGTCGCTCTATAAAAGCCCCTTCCCTCTATTTGGAGCTCAGTGGAACTCCACGAACTCCTCCAGGGTCTTGGGGACCTGGGTTGCTCTATAAAAGCCCCTTCCCTCTCTGGTTGAGCTCAGTGGAACTTTACGAACTCCTCCAGGGTCTTGGGGACCTGGGTTGCTCTATAAAAGCCCCTTCCCTCTCTGGTTGAGCTCAGTGGAACTTTACGAACTCCTCCAGGGTCTTGGGGACCTGGGTTGCTCTATAAAAGCCCCTTCCCTCTCTGGTTGAGCTCAGTGGAACTTTACGAACTCCTCCAGGGTCTTGGGGACCTGGGTTGCTCTATAAAAGCCCCTTCCCTCTCTGGTTGAGCTCAGTGGAACTTTACGAACTCCTCCAGGGTCTTGAGGACCTGGGTTGGGATTCACTGCGCTATAACTTCTGCAGGTTGCTCTATAAAAGCCCCCACGGCCCTCTGGGACGGCTCAGTGGAACTTTACGAATTCCTCCAGGGTCTTAGGGACCTGGGTTGCTCTATAAAAGCCCCCACCCCCCTCTGGGTGAGCTCAGTGGAACTCCTCCAGGGTCTTAGGGACCTGCTTTGGGAACCACTGATCTATAAAAGCCCCTTCCCTCTCTGGGACGTCTTAGTGGAACTCCACTAACTCCTCCAGGGTCTTAGGGACCTGGGTTGCTCTATAAAAGCCCCTTCCCTGTCTTTGGAGCTCAGTGGAACTCCTCCAGGGTCTTGAGGACCAGGGTTGGGAAACACTGCTCTATAAAAGCCCCTTCCCTCTATGGGAGGTCTTAGTGGAACTCCACGAACTCCTCCAGGGTCAGTGGAACTCCTCCAGGCTCAGTGGAACTCCACGAACTCCTCCAGGGTCTTAGGGATCTGGGTTAGGAGACACTGCTCTATAAAAAGCTCCTTCCCTCTCTGGTTGATCTCAGTGGAACTCCAGGAACTCCTCCAGGGTCTTGGGGATCTGGGTTGCTTTATAAAAGTCCC